AAGACAGTGCATCAATGCACAGGTCAAGCAAAGCTTAAAAGCAGTGCCAGGAGACTGTGATAGGCGTCTGTGGCAAGATCACATCCCAGGTAACTCATCGGATCCAAATTTCATAAAAATGTGTTGGGAATATTGAAATCGAGGCTCGTCGAAGCGAAGCGCTGTTCAAGCCTCGAGGAGCTCACGGCGCATGTCAAGTCAGTCTGGGCTAACTTCAAGCCAGCTATGCTGCCAAACATGCCGGTTGGCAGTAGTGGTGGAACATCTTCAATTAAGGGGGGGGGGGGCACTGCCGACTTTTGGTCCCATTCTTTCCATGCCCATAGTTAGTCCATAGTCATGTTTCCCATGGAGTTTTAACATTAGCCCATAGTGCTAATGTTAAAACTCCCAAATCAAAGGGGGGCACGGTGCCCCGGTGCCCTCCCCGTTCCGCCGCCTATGCCGGTTGGCACGCCGCAGCGTGTATTCATGTGCTTGCCTATGAAATGGGGAGCACATTGAGGGGCCATAAACATATCAAAACGCAATGTACTCTGTTTTACATGCAAATATAAGGTGAGAACGAGCTTATGGGACACCCTGTAGAGCACCCTATATAGCTTTTGTTTACATAACACCAATAATCATTAGTAAAGTATGCAAATAAATAAGGTACTATCAATTAGAATAATAGGTATGCGTTGTATCGCGTTGTAGAGTTTTTCTATTAAACTTCTCCAAACACCTCCTACTCGTGTAGCGTAACCTGTCAGTTATAGTGACTGGCTTACACCGAACCCACCCATGCGGCGTTGTGACCGGTGAGCCCGACCAGCAACAAGCTCTGCTTAGCTGGAAGGGCTCGTCCGGTCACACATGACCTTCTACAGAATACTGACCCGAACCCAGGGGCGTAGCCAGGATTTCCTCAAGGGGGGAATCCTGGCCTACAAGGGCCCAAGGTAACCCCCCTCAAAATTCAAAAGTCGGATTTCATGCACTATTTTTTGGAGGGGGCCCAAATAAGTTGAATAATATTTATTTTAAAAAAATGAAAAAAAAATGTTAGAACTGAGGGGGCAAGCAGTCCATGGACCCTTGCTAGATAGGCCCACGAATAGCTTCATAGAGTCGCTCAGCCGGTTCTAAAGGCGGACTGAGGGTCTCGTAGGTCGGATGAGGGTCCTTCAGACCGTCAAAGACCGCTACAGGCCATGAGAGCCTCGTAAGCCGTCTGAGGGTCATGTTAAGCCGTCTAAGGGCCACTCATATCGACAAAAGGTCCCCTTGCACTTGCAGAATGCAGAGGGCCCTGTCGGACCGATGGAGAGCCCTCTAAGACAAACTAAGGGCCCATCAGGTCATTTGAGGGCCTCGGGGCCCCTCAGATCGACTGTGGATCCGATTTGAGATCCATCAAACCGACATCGAATCAGACCAACCGTCGGAAACCAACAGATCAACAGAGGGCCCCTCAGGTGAAAAAAGGCTGTCAATCGGTGGCCCCATAAGACCGGCAGGGGCCCTCAGAACAGCGGTCGATAGAGGACCTCCTCAGGTGATATAGTTGATCACCCTCCAGTTGATATAGGCCCCTCGGACAAACAAAGGGATCCTCAGGCCGATCGGTGACCCCTCAGACCAATCGGGGGCCCCTCAGACCGACAGAGGGCCCTCTCGGTCCAAAAAGGGCCCCTCACGCAAGTTGTGGTTCCTTTACACTGACAGGGGACCCTTCAGATGTTAGTCAGAGAGTCCCATCATGAGCTCGCCTCAGGGCAGCTCAACGCGTTCAGAGGGCCAGTCGGTAGATAAGAGGGCCCCCGTCCACCGACCGGGGGCCCTTTCATGCGCTCAGAGGATTTTACTGTAGCTTAGAAGGCCCACGTCAATCAATCAGGGGCCTCCTCATGCGTTCAGAGGGCCCTCTCGTGAATTCAGAGGGCCTTTCTGTAGTTCAGAGGGCCCCTGTCAAGCAATCAGGGGGCCCTTAATGCAATCAGAGGGTTTCTCTGTAGCTCAGAGGGTCCCATCAAGCGATCAGGCGACCCCTTCATGCTTTCAGAGGACCCTCTCGTGTACCCAGAGGACCTTTCTTTCGTTCAGAGGGCCCTTTATGCGCTCAGAGGGCCTTTCTGCAGTTAAGAGGGTCCCTGACAAGCAATCAGGGCCCCTTTATGCGCTCAGAGGGCCTTTCTGTAGCTCAGAGAGCCCCCGTCAAGCGATCAAGGGTCCCTTCATGCGTTCAGAGGACCCTCTCGTGTATTCAGAGGGCTTTTCTGTAGTTCGGAGGGCCCCTGTCAAGCAATCAGGGGGCCCTTAACCCGCGCCCCACTGGGGTCTGCGCATAACACGCCCTACTGGGGGGGGGGCTATTCATAGCCCCCCTCCTAACTCCGAAAATACTGGGCCGATCGTCAAAATTCAAACGGCGTCTGATAGCCCCGGAAAAACTGTCGAACGAAACCTAATTTCATTGACCTCGAGGTCACCGATGACGTCACAGGTCAGGTCAAAGTAAATATTATTAGCATTTTGGCTTCTTCACGTTTTGGGCTCTGGCCGCCGTCTTACAAGTCAGATCAGGCTCATTTTTGGTTCACACACTCGTGAACAGATGCTCTAGATACTCTGAGGGTACCAAACTTGTACTTTGATTTTCAGGTCAAGGTCAGGTCATCACAGGTCACGAAAATATTATATCATCCGTCGGTCACGTGACACATGTTTTATGGTCCATTTAGGCCACACATTTCGAATTTGATGTCGTCTGTGTCATTCGAGGTCATTTTGAGTCAAATTTAGCTTAGGTCAGGTCACTTTCAGGTCAAAAAAGGTCAAATTTTAAAGTTAAAATTTTTCAACAAAAAAGGTGTCTATTGGATGCAGTTAGAGCTCAGAAACACGATGGTGCTATTTATATTGGCGTGCGATGTCAAATTCGTGCTGAAAAATTTATTTGAAAAATTAATAATTGTTTATTTTTTTGCAATAATGCGTATAACTTGGTCATTTTTGAAGATATTTAGCTAAAACTTGCTAGAGTTAGTCATAATAATGCGTTCTATCACATATATTCCGGTTTTTTCGAAAAGTCAAAAAAAAATTGAAAAAATGTAAAAATATAAATTTTTAATTTAATTATATAAAATTTTCGAAATTTTCAAAATTTCGAAAATCCGAGATAGCAGTTTGATAGCGCAGTCTATTCTGAGTTCTCTCATGCAAAGAAATTGGATCTAGCTTAAAAACTGAGCTCTTTGGAGCGATTGCCGTGGTTCAATGTTTTGCGTCGAAATCGGCCGAACATGACGTCACTCTGACGTCATTTCCGGCCGACCTATGGTAGGTACGAAGATCAAATTTTGACACAAGGTGTCAAATTGATGCAGCCAAAGGTACTGAAAGTTTGGCGTCGATACGTCAAGCGGTTTGGAAGTTATTGCAGAAAAACGGGAGGGGGCTATAAATAGCCCCCCCCCCCCCCAGTGGGGCGCGGGTTAATGCAATGGGTTTTCCTGTGGCTCAGAGCGCACCCGTCAAGCGATCAGGAGCTCCTTCATGCTTTCAAAGGGCCCTCTTGTGTGGCAAGAGGGCCTTTCTTTAGTTTAGAGGGCCCCCGTCAAGCTATCAGGGGCCTCTTCACTAGCTCTGAAGAGGGCCCCTCGAACTTACCTGTGCTTTGTACTGCCTCTGGCATGTATGTGTCCCTTTACTAACCCTGAGTGAGTGTTCTTTTGACTTTTACATCATAAAACATGGTATTGGAAGTAGTGCTTTAGTCTTCCGTTGCTTTCAGCAGGGACATCTTTCGTCCTCTGGTTAGTTAGTAAAAAAAAAAAAACAGACTTCCTCTTACCGACTGGTTGCTTATTCTGAGTTCTTTTCGATTCTTAGCAGGGAATTCCGCGACTTTGCCATTTTTATCTTTTATCTGGTGTTAAAGTAAGGTTCTGTGAGTCGCTGGGCTGAGGGAGGGGGCATTCCTGGTCCCCAATTAATGGGTGGCGGTGTATTTAGAAAAAAAATACCGAAAATATTGTGACGTCATAAGAACAGTAGCTACTTTGTCAGTCATTCAAATGGCTATATCTCTGGCAGTTTAAGATATATTTTGTTAATTTTTGGCATGTGTAAGGCCCGTAAGGGGTTCTCTGACATACATTCCGTGTTTGTTTTAGAAGTTTCCACAATTAAAAAAAACATCTCAAGAAATCTAGATTTTGAGTTAGAAAATCCCTAGACCTAGGGATTTTTGCATTTTGGAAATTTCGAGATATCCATTTTGTTCGCCGTGCTTTTTAATACCTAGAGCAAATTTTTGAGTCGCTAGGTTGAAACTCTGATTTTCTGCGATTTTCCCCCGGGACAACTTTTTCGACGAAAAATCGCCGAACATGACCTCACTTTGACCTCTATAGCTCGTCACCAGAGATGACCTGAGACCTATTTTTTCCAGGAGTTGTGTAAAATTGATATCCGAAGAGGGCTGATAGTTTCAAGTCGAAATTCGCAGCTGTTTCTGAGTTATCTGCGAAAAACCACAGGGGGCCTTTGCCCCCCCCCCCTCCACCACCCCAACGGGTCGCGGGTTGAAAACGATCGCTCAGTAAGTGTAGCTATGGCGAGCATTAAATTTTCCCTAAGATAAGGGCACTTGGCGTGAACTTGAGACCTCAGACCCGACCACGAAAGGCCTGGGTCAGAAGTCTTAGCGACATGTGCAGAAAAGGCGCATAAGTTGTGCTAAAAACATCGTCGCTACACGCCGCCATTTCCATAAATATTCGTGGGGTGAAATACAACAATTTACGGTTTTTTAGATGTTCCGCCCAGCTCCGGGTTCAGTGAGAAGCAGTCAATGAGCGGCCGGTGGCCAGCCACGTTTAGTGAGAAGCAGTCAATGAGCGGTCGGTGGCCAGCCACGTACATCGAGAAGCAGTCAATGAGCGGCCGGTGGCCAGCCACGTACAGTGAGAAGCAGTCAATGAGCGGCCGGTGGCCAGCCACGTACGTACAGTGGTTTGGGCGAGTCGGAGGCGAGCAGAGTGCCGTCGTTGCGCGCCGGTCCCGGCTCCAATTCCTCATCGCTGCTGTCGTCCTGCAGACACACGAACCAGGTAGCACACAATCAGCCACCAATGGCACACCACCACACCAAAACAGGTCACCAGGTAGCACACAATCAGCTGCCGATCGCACGCCACTGGGTAGCAACACAGGGGCGGCGTTTTTGCCGGCAAAAACTAATTACCCGCCACTTGCTTGTTTCAGCTGGTAAAAAAGGAAACACTGGCAAGAACAAAAAACAAAAATTACGCTTTGCTCCAAACTCAATCCCGCAAACCCGCCGTCGCTACGGGCAGCTCCACTCTGCCCAATTCCCGTCGGCTTCTACCGGGCTCATACCCGCGGCTTCTACCGGGCTCATAACCGCGCTGCTGCAAATACGGCTGGCCGTCGGCTTCTACCGGGCTCATACCCGCGGCTTCTACCGGGCTCATAACCGCGCTGCTGCAAATACGGGTGGCCGTGATGTTGCATGATGATCACTATTGGTTGTGATGGAGCCTGCACGTATCATACTGGGCTTTACTGACAGATGGACGGGATGAGGATATAGTAGGTTAGATAAAACATGGCAGTGTAGTTCTGTTCTTTGGTTCGGCAGTGTGTGTATTTAAACAAAGCACATTTTATGAAAAAAAACATGTAATGCAGGTTCGTTGAATCATACAACCATTAGACGATTAATAATTTGGGATTTTTTCATGCCGTTTTATTGACATCTTCACATAAAAACACAAACAGGAACAAGCGCAACAACGTTTCTGTGTTCTTCGTCGGCGGCCGCCTGGCCAGGCCGAGAAAATTTCGTGGCCGTTCGCAGAACTTATAATAAACGAACATGGTCGCCAAACAGTCGCCGAGTCGCCGCCGACATGTCCCTGCGTGCGCCGACTTGTTACCAAGGTATCGCCGACCATTCGCCACAGATTCGCCATTCATTCGCGATGTTCGCCGAACCATGGATCAGCTTCGACCCGCGCACGATTAGGGGGGCCCCCTCCCGTTTTCTGCAAATCGGGCTCTGTCGGCGAACTGTTCGCCTCTGTCGATGAACTGTTCGCCGATTTCCTACACGACGTGATTCGGCGACAGAGTCGTGACCAAAATTCGGCAGTGTAACACGGCCTTAAGCCCTTGTTACACTGCCGAATTTTGGTACACGAATGTGCACGAATATGCAAGTCATCCTATGTCGCGGACCGATTCGGGATCTTTCTTCCACGGTCTTGTCATTCCGCAGACCAGTCGGTGTCCACTGCGCGACTTTTACGGTTCGTCACGACCGCCACGAATATTTCATGAAAAATGAAAATTTCGTGGCCGTTCGCCGAACTTAAAATAAACGAACATGATCGCCAAACAGTCGCCGAGTCGCCGCCGACATGTCGCTGCGTGCGCCGACTTGTTGCCAAGGTATCGCCGACTATTCGCCACAGATTCGCCATTCATTCGCGATGTTCGCCGAATCATGGATCAGCTTCGACCCGCGCACGATAAAGGCCGTGTTACACTGCCGAATTTTGGCCACGACCCTGACGCCGAATCACGTCGTGTAGGAAATCGGCGAACAGTTCACCGACAGAGGCGAACAGTTCGCCGACAGAGCCCGATTTGCAGAAAACGGGTGGGGGGCCCCCCTTATCGTGCGCGGGTCGAAGCTGATCCATGATTCGGCGAACATCGCGAATGAATGGCGAATCTGTGGCGAATAGTCGGCGATACCTTGGCAACAAGTCGGCACACGCAGCGACATGTCGGCGGCGACTCGGCGACTGTTTGGCGATCATGTTCGTTTATTTTAAGTTCGGCGAACGGCCACGAAATTTTCATTTTTCATGAAATATTCGTGGCGGTCGTGACGAACCGTAAAAGTCGCGCAGTGGACACCGACTGGTCTGCGAAATGACAAGACCGTGGAAGAAAGATCCCGAATCGGTCCGCGACATAGGATGACTTGCATATTCGTGCACATTCGTGTACCAAAATTCGGCAGTGTAACAAGGGCTTAAGGGGGCCCCCCACCCGTTTTCTGCAAATCGGGCTCTGTCGGCGAACTGGTCGCCTCTGTCGGTGAACTGTTCGCCGATTTCCTACACGACGTGATTCGGCGACAGGGTCGTGACCAAAATTCGGCAGTGTAACACGGCCTTTACCCTTGAATTGAAAGTGCATCGTTTGGTGGGGGTAGAGCCTCAAATGTGTGTAATGTGTATGAACTCAATGTTTCTGCCGCAAATGCTGCTTGTGTGCCGACAGCTACTAAAGTTCGAGTGGTGGAGGTGCCAGTGATATGCGCGCCACTGATTGCCTATTGTTATGGCATTTTTTATTGTACATGTATCGTGTGTGTATCGTATGTGTTGGTGAATGATGTCGCGCGTAACGCTATTCACCAAGGGGGGAGCGTGTTGAGAAATATAGGTATATGTAGTGTGGCCGAGATGAGTACCTACGCTCATCGCTCGGTGCGGCAGTGGCGACAGCTATAGGCCGACGGGTGCTGCCGCCTGGTGGCACAATTCTTAGCCACAAATTACAGGTAGAGGAGACAGAGGACAGGACGTGCGTAGCATAGCTCTTGGGTGTGGTCGGCGTGGCGGGGTTGACACGTGAACGGCGCAGCTGAGACGAGTGCGGCGATGACGTCGCTTTGTTGAGTTGGATTTGTGTGACTGCGTGGCGGTCAGTTGCTTGTTTGATGGCTCCCGTGCCTGTGATGGGAGACTGGTGGGTGATTGCTGCGTCAAAGTTCAAGGGCGCAATAAACCCAATTCGAAGTTCGAATGTTTCCCGGTTGTGATGAAGATGGGAGAGCTTTGATTCCCAGACATAGGGTGTAGGTCATCTAACCTGGTGTATGGTGTCTGGTGCAATAAGTGTGAAAAGGTGGTATACGTAGGACAAACAGGCGATACAATATACACGCGTACCCAGAACCACCTTTCATCAATACGGTGTAGGAGGGAGGGCAGGATTCCCGTGAACCGCCACTTCTCAGGAGGGGGGCACAAAGAGGGCGACTTTAGAATAATCGGTCTGGAAAGGACAAGGGGGAACTCAGAGGACCGTAGGAAATTTAGAGAGATGAGGTGGGTGGGACTTCTGGGAACACTAAGGGAAAGTGGAGGGGAAAATGTCCGAAAGGAAGGGTAGGTGGGAAGGTCTAACCCAAGTGCATCTCTTCCACTTCAGGTGTTGCAAATTATTAGTTGTGTATAACCGTCAAGCCCAGTTAATGGGTATTCTGCATTGCTTTCGCCGTCTACTCTTTATTCTGTCGAATTGTAGTATGGATCCAGCTGCTGGAGGCACATAGAAATAATGGATCCTGCAAATGAAGGGACCAAGTGAAATTAGATGTGATTATTTCGCTACGTGTTTTTAATTGTTTTTGTACCCATCTTTATCGTGTTTGTGTGCCATTATTGTCGAAAAGTGTGAACGATACGCCGATTTATTATTCTGACGAAGATATAAGCATATACATATATCGAAACGTCACAAACGAGTCTGTTCTCTGTCTCTCTCTCTGTCTCTCTCTGTCTCTGTCTCTCTCTGTCTCTGTCTCTCTCTGTCTCTGTCTCTCTCTGTCTCTGTCTCTCTCTGTCTCTCTCTGTCTCTGTCTCTCTCTGTCTCTCTCTGTCTCTGTCTCTCTCTGTCTCTCTCTGTCTCTCTCTGTCTCTGTCTCTCTCTGTCTCTCTCTGTCTCTCTCTCTCTCTGTCTCTCTCTGTCTCTGTCTCTCTCTGTCTCTCTCTGTCTCTGTCTCTCTCTGTCTCTCTCTGTCTCTCTCTGTCTCTCTCTGTCTCTCTCTGTCTCTCTCTGTCTCTCTCTGTCTCTGTCTCTCTCTGTCTCTCTCTGTCTCTGTCTCTCTGTCTCTGTCTCTCTCTGTCTCTCTCTGTCTCTGTCTCTCTCTGTCTCTCTCTGTCTCTGTCTCTCTCTGTCTCTCTCTGTCTCTGTCTCTCTCTGTCTCTCTCTGTCTCTGTCTCTCTCTGTCTCTGTCTCTCTCTGTCTCTGTCTGTCTCTCTGTCTCTGTCTCTGTCTCTCTCTGTCTCTCTCTGTCTCTCTCTGTCTCTGTCTCTCTCTGTCTCTCTCTGTCTCTGTCTCTCTCTGTCTCTCTCTGTCTCTCTCTGTCTCTGTCTCTCTCTGTCTCTCTCTGTCTCTCTCTGTCTCTCTCTGTCTCTCTCTGTCTCTGTCTCTGTCTCTGTCTCTGTCTCTGTCTCTGTCTCTGTCTCTGTCTCTGTCTCTGTCTCTGTCTCTGTCTCTGTCTCTGTCTCTGTCTCTGTCTCTGTCTCTGTCTCTGTCTCTGTCTCTGTCTCTGTCTCTGTCTCTGTCTCTGTCTCTGTCTCTGTCTCTGTCTCTGTCTCTGTCTCTGTCTCTGTCTCTGTCTCTGTCTCTGTCTCTGTCTCTGTCTCTGTCTCTGTCTCTGTCTCTGTCTCTGTCTCTGTCTCTGTCTCTGTCTCTGTCTCTGTCTCTGTCTCTGTCTCTGTCTCTGTCTCTGTCTCTGTCTCTGTCTCTGTCTCTGTCTCTGTCTCTGTCTCTGTCTCTGTCTCTGTCTCTGTCTCTGTCTCTGTCTCTGTCTCTGTCTCTGTCTCTGTCTCTGTCTCTGTCTCTGTCTCTGTCTCTGTCTCTGTCTCTGTCTCTGTCTCTGTCTCTGTCTCTGTCTCTGTCTCTGTCTCTGTCTCTGTCTCTGTCTCTGTCTCTGTCTCTGTCTCTGTCTCTGTCTCTGTCTCTGTCTCTGTCTCTGTCTCTGTCTCTGTCTCTGTCTCTGTCTCTGTCTCTGTCTCTGTCTCTGTCTCTGTCTCTGTCTCTGTCTCTGTCTCTGTCTCTGTCTCTGTCTCTGTCTCTGTCTCTGTCTCTGTCTCTGTCTCTGTCTCTGTCTCTGTCTCTGTCTCTGTCTCTGTCTCTCTCTCTGTCTCTGTCTCTCTCTCTCTCTCTCTCTCTCTCTCTCTCTCTCTCTCTCTCTCTCTCTCTCTCTCTCTCTCTCTCTCTCTCTCTCTCCTCTCTCTCTCTCTCTCTCTCTCTCTCTCTCTCTCTCTCTCTCTCTCTCTCTATTTATTATCTTTAGCAGAATGGTAATACACAAGGCTATGTAAACCAGGTAGAACGCTCCCGACGAAAAACTGGGGGCAAAAATGAATTCAGTAACCGCGACTCTGGAAACCAAACAAATTTAGGTTGTCATGGTAACGGGGCAAATTTGGCATGAGTACGCATTTAATAACTAATGTTTCAACGAATTATTTCAGAAAAAGCAAAAAGATTCGTCGGGCCACTAAAACAATAAAATGCAGTTTTCATAAACGATTCGAGTTTATATCAGACTGGCCTAAACAATGTCAAAATCAAGTCCTAAACTGTACGGCCCGTGCTGCTGTAGGTTACCTCTAACGCTCTGGCCCCCAAAATCGTCACTGGCTTATCAGCCAATGAGCGTCGAGTATTGCCGTACGCTAATTGGTGGGATTACTGCATTTGTTGTTTAGAATGCTCACGGTGCTGACAGCGCTAGTGAAGGTGTCTCCACTTTTCGTAATGTTCAAAGCCCGGAGCGCATCCCCCTGTAATACAGTTCACAGTCTGAGAGAAGTCCAAATAAATTTCCTCATTATCCCGTAAGGCATTGCAATGCGATAATTTAGAGGGTTCGCGGAGACCCTCGCGCTTTATGGATAGTGGTGCCGCACATAGCGTTATCGAACATCACTAAACAGGGATGGGCAATCACCCCCCCCCCCCAAAAAAATACACACCCTATGTAAACTTGAATCTGCTGCTATTGGACAAGCCTTTTCTAAAACTGGCCCCAATAGGTGCAAAAATACCCCCAGTCTGGGCCTGCTGGAAAAACTGAGCAGCAGAAAAACAATCCTGTGTAAATAGTATTGGTATTTAATAATCGGATGTGGCGTACCTTTATCTCAGAGAAGGGCAAGCTGGCAGTGGGGCGCGGTGCGGCTGTGCGGCGTCTCTCACCTGTGCTGGAGGCGGCGGCGCGGCGCCGTTGGACGGTCCTCCGAGCTCCTGCAGCTGAGCCGACAGCACGTCCAGGTCCTGTGGACGGCGGGGCGCCGGCTGCACACCAGCCGCATACCGTCACAACAACGCACCCTTTTATTTCACGTGTTAACCGTTTCCATGGTTACGACTTGGTATTTGTATGAATGGATTCTGGTCGGGCTGAGTCCGAACATGTCTGCTCTCCTAGTATGGTTTATAATTTACCGTCAATACACTTAGTCAATACACTTTTCATGTGACATTTGCCAAGACTAAAAAGACCTAACAGGGGTTATGACATAATTCGCTTTTTTTAATCGAAAGGCTTTTGGGATTTTTTGGCTATTATATTCAATTTCCTTTTTAATCGAAATCCAAAAATTCAAAAATTCGAGATAGCAGTTGAATAGCCCTGGTAATTCAATACATTTTATGTCTCGAACGTTTTCTGTATCTTTAAAGCTGTTGGCCTGGCAGCTCTCCCCGCGAAACCTTTTTTGGGTCGAAAATAGCAGAACATGACGTGACTCTGACGTCATTTGCCGCCAACTTATCACAGCCTTTGGAAAAAAAATTGGGTCACAATGGGTAAAATTGATGTCCGGGAGTACCGGGAGGGTACTGAAAGTGTGGTGGTGATCGGCGCAGCGGTTCTGGAGATATATTGAAAAATCAAGGGGGGATAGGATAAAATGCCCACCTCCACCTGGAAGGTTAAGTTATTTTATTTTATATTCAGCTGTATTAGATGTACCATCAAACCCAGCTGTCCCACACAAGGAGGTAAGCTCTGGTGAAGACTCGCCGTCACTGCTCCAGATAGGTGAGGGACACGAAACAAAACAATCTGAAAACTTGCTGAAGGGCATCCTTCACCAAAGATTATGTTGTTACACGCATAACAGTTTGCCTAGCCGGCTAGCGGCCACTCACCTCCGGTCTGCGCTGCGCCGGCTTGTACATCTGGCTGTGCCGAGCGGGCGCCGGCGCCGGCGGCGGCGGCAGCGGCCGGCTCGGCGGTGGCGGCTGCTGGCCGTCCGGGTAGCGCGCCGGCGGCGGCGGACGCCCGGGCGCCGACGCCTCCTCTCGGCGGCGCCGATCGCGCTCCTCGGCGGCGGCGGCGGCGCGACCCTCCTGGATCTGCTGGAAGTTTTTGCGGAGCGTGTTTTCGCCGGGCGCCTGGACGATGGACGAGGGCTCTCCGGCCGTGGCCGCCTGCTCCTCCTCGTCGTCGTTGTCGCTACCCGAGTAATTGAAGCTCTCCTCGCGGTCTGTCGGCACCGCAGGACAGGCACAAAGTTTAAAGGGATTAGTTTTGATTCCCGCCTTTACATTAGTTTTGAGTCGACATATTCAAACCCATGGTTAGTAACTGCCAGTTGGGGAACTCGAAACATCGAGAAATGCCTTAATTCGGTAATATTTACAGTCTACAGCACTCCATTTCCAAGGGGCTAATGCAGGGGTCGGCAGCCTACCCAGCCAGCAGTCCCAAATGGGGCCATATGGGTTACATATGTGGGATATGTGGGTGCAAGTGGGCTTGGGCTCTAAGCGGGCTGATATCTGGGTTCCAGTTGGGGCCCATACGTGTTGCCGATGCTCCATTCATGTTTTTTTTTAACCCTCGCCGGCCGAGGGGGGGGGGGGCGGGTGCCGCCCCCCCCCCCATAGGTTTTTTTCGCGATAGCTCCGAACACGCTGGCGATAGAGAGCTGAAACTTGGCATACCTGACCTTTGATCCAAGCCGGATCTTTTGACACCAACCGCATTTTTGGGTCAGGTCAGGTCACTGACCTATGACGTCATAAGTGAACCTCTGCACGGTCTTCAGATGTCGCAACTTCGCAACGCCCTCACTGCCAGAGGAGATGTCACAGGGAAATGAAACTTGCAGGATCTAGTATCCATTATGAGTCCCACAAATTGTATATCTCGGATTTTTCCTAAAGGTCATATGAGGTCAGGTCATTTTCGTGACCTCACCATTATAAGTCAATGGGGAAAAATTCAAACTGCTATTCTGGAGCCGGGAACGATCTCCAACTATCTCAAGCACACAGAATCGTGATTTGATGCACTCCTTGCAAGGTTAGATGCGTCACTTTTGCAATGTTGACCTTGCGTGACGTCATTTATGACGTCATCAAGGTCATATTAGTTTTTCGTCAATAACTCTTGATCAAATTGAGCTAGCGAGTCGGGAAAGCCACCAATGGACTCAGGAAGACCTGCCGAATCGAATGATATGCGACATGACCTCTTTCGACCAACTTCGTGACCTGGGGGTGCTGACCTGACCTTGACCTGAGGTCAACACCCCAAGTTGACCTGACCCGGACAAAAAGTATATCATTCGACGCGCCTGAGCGAGACGAACACGATGCTGCCAAAATCGGCGCTCTGCAGCCGTTTTTTGCGAAGTTATTCACCAAAAACTGAACCGTACCTTGGGGCACTTGACCTGACCTCAGAGGTCACCGGTTGACCTAGGACCTTAAAATCGGGTACCAATCTCTGCGTCTCGTAACGGCGCACACGCTCGTTTTTTCCGCGACGCGCTAGCTCCACCAGGGGCGAAACGGCGAGGGGGGGTCGTACCCGCCCCCCCCCCCCCTCCTCGGCCGGCGCGTATGTAGAAAACCAATAGGTCCGGCGAGGGTTAATAGGGTAGGGTGGGGTAATTTGAACAGGTGAAGTAATCTGAACATAGTGTTAATTACACAAACTTACGGAAAATCCTTAAGTGGCACGACAATAAGACCAGTGAGGGAATTATCGTAACTTAAAGGGCTACCACGGGGTTAAAAGTTTCAGGGAATGAAGATGTTGACGCAAATCAGCTTCGCAAGGAAAAACGTCCAACAACCATTGCAACTTAATTGCAGCGCAAAAACCTATATTGCTAGCGCCTAATACGTAACAGCTTTTGTTGTGCAATGTACAATGAACTAATAGGTGCCTTCAAACCAAGAAATTTGCTTTCAAAACCTGTTTTTGAATATGGCAAAGTAACTTTTAGCGTGGGGTAATTTGAACATAGTGTGGGAATTTTTGTTGCGTATTAGCCTTAGGGCCGCTCCACACTGGAACTCGCATGCGGGTTGCGAGTTTGCGGGTTTTGAGTTTGCGGGCATAATACTAATTCATAGAGTGATTAGACCGCTCCCTTATGGTAACTATAGGAATGCAGTGAAGCCGGTACACCTTCAGAAACTTACATATAGCCGCAATACCAGCGCAACGAACCAAAATCCGACTCCAACGAAAAACCCGCAAACCTCGCAGAACTCGCAGACCTCGCAGCGAGGAAAATCGAAAGTTGACTCAAAATCAACTTTTGGAATGCGATGCAAGGTGGTTTGCAAGCTAAAAACATGCAGACTCACTAGCTACATGGTAGTTGTGGGTCACTCAGCTTAGATTGTATGATTTGTTTTTGAAGAAACCCGAAAACCCAAAAACACGCATTCCCGCATGCATGGTCCAGTGTGGGGCGGCCTTTAGCCAAGCTGGCTGGCGGCACTTTAAGAACGGCAGCATTTTAGGGACATGTGTAGCCCCCATTTCACGGAGCCTCTCTGTTACCCATATAGGGCTCATGGCTGGTTGTTGTTGTGTGGCCGACCGTATAGTGCGACAACTGCGCAATATACAGCTCGAACCGAAGATAAGGTCTCAGCTATGAAATAGGCGGACAAATCTCACGACACAACAAAATTAGCAACGAGGATGAGATCAGAGGCCAGTTTAACCAACAGAAAAATAGCAGCCCGGCGCAATTTTTCTGTCAAAAACCCGCCGACGAGTTTCACCAACCAGGCGAAAAAATATCCGCCGGCGTGAAAAAATATCAGCCAGAAAAATAGCCAACGAGTTTCAACAACGGCAAATGCGGCATTAATGGAGTGTTTATCTGCGCCATTATATGTAGAAAAAACAGCCCCAAAAAATAGACAGGCGACCCCGTCTATTTTTTTTATAACGTGTTGGAATAATTGGCTTCATTTGTTACTAATTATCGTGATTTGCGCTTCTCAGTTGATATAATAATTTAGTATCATTCATGGCCAATTTGTAAAGCATCTGGACTTCAAGAATAGAAGAGGAATACTGATGATATTGCGTAAAGAAAGAGCCTTTGTCACCAGGCAGGACCAAAAGGAACCAACAAGACGGGTGTTTGGTGTTGTGGTGTTAGTTTTTTTCGTTTTATATTATTTTTTGCTATAAGCACCCAACAGCAAGATGATAGCGCATTAAAGGGACTATTCCACCTTTAACATGGGGTTTGAGTTGAGATAGCCAAGTTTGCGGCGAGGTTCAGAAACCACTATCTATCTAGGTTGCAACCCCCGCGGCCTCTTGGTGTTGAAGAAATTCGTTCCCTTCATTTGAAAATGGGCCTTGTACAAGGCCCTATCTTCAACATGGAGCGACCGTTAGTGTGACGTCACCTCGTTTAGTCATTCTGATTTAAATGGGTTTGTTCGTTGAAAAATCGCTTAAACTTGGTCTAAACTTTGTTGTGGTGCCTACAGAGTAAAAAGAATCAGCTTTATGACAGTAATGTGGCCTGGGGAAGGAGGTAATTTTGGGCTGTGACGTCACATATTTGAAAGTTTGTGTTTGGAATATGGGAAGCCTAAGATGTTTCATGAAAAATAAATGCCAGAACCGTGTTCCTGGTCATCCAATCTATAAAGTCGGGCACAATTTAACTGGTTTTAACAACATCTTAGAAGGTGGGATAGTCCCTTTAACTAGTGGTCAGCTTACAAGTTCATTGCTCGCACGGAAGTGGAAAATAATGATGGAAGGTCATTTTCGAAAATCGAAGGAGCTTGAAGAAATGCTGGAAGGAGAGGCAGAGAGGGTAGGCTCATTGGACTCAAGATTTTAAATAAATATGTCCCTGTTTTCACATATTCAGCTTCATTTGACATTGCAAGGCGCCAGCTACTGATACCACTACTACTTTTGGGTGGAACTTCTTGAGCTGTGCGGAATAGGGACAGGGGCGGTCGTAGACTTGGCGTTTGGGGGGGCCAACTTGGGTAAGGGGCCCCTACACTGACCCGGGGGGCCCGGTGCTAGCTTAAAGGGGCCCACGGGCGTAGTGCATGGGTGCAGAAATCCAGCCATGGCCGGTGAAGCGGGGGGGGGGGGTAGGGAGCGGCACCCGAGCGGAGGCTCATTGCCAGCTTTGAGGGTGTACCATGTCGAAAAGGTAAGTTCATATTGAAGCATTGGTAATGTCAATAATTCACGCAACTGTGAATTGACTACCGCAAAAAGTAAAACCGGCTAACTTAGCCATTTTCGAAGATACCGTGCGAAAACTTTTGACAGTGGGTCATCGGTAGGTATGTGTTCAATCACATGTGTTTCGTTTCTTATTTTACTTGAGCACAAATGTAAGTTTTAAAGACCATCACAGTAGCAAATGCATCGAAAGATGGATAGTAGTGGGCAAAATATCCTGAATTTGTCGTGCTGCATCGAAAGTAGTGTTGATGAGAAAAGGGGTTTTTATTCCAGATTATTGTGGGTGCACAATACATTGTCTGCACCCACTGGATAATTATTGTTGGTGCAACTGCACCCACTGCACCCATGGTTCCTACACTTATAGGTCCATGGATAACGCTTCGGCGATACCTATCGCATAGAGGCTGCAATGTGGCCCTTAGAGTATAGTGTCAGACCCCCCAGAGGCCGGCGTTGGACCCAAGGGTCAGCGAAGGGCCTCAAAGGCACCAGATGGGGCCCCAGAGGCTGATGTGGGCCCTCAGAGGCAAGTGCGTGACGCCCAAAGGTAAGTCTTGGGCCCCATAGAACATAATAGGGCCATCAGTGGCCGGTGTAGAGACCTCATAGGCCGGTTGGGGGCATATAGAGGCCAGTTTGGGGCACCTCAGATGTCGGTGTGAGGCCCTTAAAGACCGGTATGGGTCCTCAGAAGCCGGCATCGATCCTTCAGAAGCCAGTACGGGGCCCTCAGAGGCACATAAGGGTCAGTTTGGGTCCCAGAGACAGAAATGGGACCATCAGAGGCCGGTGTGGAACCTTTAGAGGCCGGTTTGGGCCCTCAGAGGCCAGTTTAGGGCCCTCAGAGACCAGTACAGGGCCTGCAAAGGGCAGTTTGAGACCATCAGAGACCGACTTGGGCGCTCAGATGCTAATGTGGGTCCTTACAGGCCAGCATGGGCCCTCAGAGGTTAGCGTGGGGTCGTAAAAGACCGACATGGGTCGGCGTTGGACCCCAGA